CCCTTCTGCTGCTTCCCTGTCCCCCTCCCCAGCTCACCGCTCTGGCACCACATCCTAGCTGCACAGCCAAGACCACAGAACACAGAAGGAGCTGGACTGGCCCAGCCAGCACCGTATGGAGCCAGCTGAGAATTGCAGGGGCCAGGCTGACTTCTGCTGCATCCTGCGGTCCCAGTGCTGCAGTTGGGAACCACGTGGTGCTGGAGCCACCAGTGGAGAGGTAGAGGGGAGTGGTGGCAGTGGCGGGCAAATGGCTATGGCAGGCGGGGGGCGAGTGGGAGAGAGTGGGTGGGTGGAGCTCAGCGATAGCTGGGTGGAAGTGCAGGGCTGCACAGGGCTCTGGAGCCAGGCCAGTCCATGCCAGCAGGGAGATGGGGAGCTGGCTCCGCTCCAGAGCCCCCGCCAGCCCACACTGCTGCCACCCAACTCTGGGCCCCCGCTGGCCCTGGCCCTAGGGCACCAGCTCAGGCCCTGCACTCCTGCCCAGCTGTCACTGCACTCCCACATGCCCGCTCACTGCCCCTTGCCCCCCCAGCCAGCCGTTCCAGCACCACATGGTTCCCAGCTGCAGTGCTGAGATTGCAGCAGCTGGCTCAGCCCAACCCTGAGGACTGAGGTGATTGCCCATGGTCCTCCCCTGTCTCTCCCCACAACCCTTCTTATATGAATTTCCCTCCAGTGGAAGGAATCCCCTAGGTCCTACTGCCCCTGGCTCCTGTCATCTTTGACAGGCAGCCACGGGCAAATAAATGTTCATTTTCTAAATTTTTTTAGGGGCCCTGTGGGCTGAATAGAATGATCTGGCAAGCCAAATCCAGCCTGTGGGCTGTATTTTGCCCACCCCTTCTTTAACTGGACTACATCTGACCTTCGGCTGAAAACAAGTGTATTAAAAAATTATTGTGTTTCTCTGCTTGTCTCTTGTCTCCCTGCATTACTCATTATCAACTTTCAATTTCTTTTCTTTAAATGTGTGCTTTAAAACTTTCTTGTGGCAGACTGTGTCTAAGGCTTTGAGTATCAGCATGAAAGCAAGCTCAGAGTCTTACTCTGACGTCATATGCAAAAGTTCCTCTTTGTCCCTTTCACTCTAGCTCATACTGGCAGGACACCAAAAATCACAGTCCTGAGTTTTTGCTCTTTCAAGTGATTAGCTGAGCAAGAATCAAATGAATGAAGCAGAGGAGGGAGGATGCAGGCTACCTTAGGCAAAGAAAAAAACTTGATTTCGTGCTGAAGTGCTGAGTAGGTTAAGTACAAAATAAGACTTGTCTTTTAAAACTCATTATAGCCTCCTAGACAATGTTCAGCTTTTTAATGGCTTTGTTCCTGTCTAGTGCTGATGAAAGGTGTAAGGCCACTCTTGAGACTGAACTTTGTGTACAAGTGTAGCACAGAAAGAAGCCGTGCAAGCTTTGCTGCTCTGTTGTGTTTTGTTGCTGGTCTGGACTGACTACCTGTGGGGCCAGCCATTCTGAGGAGTTCAAAGAAGGGCACCAATTAGTGCTGACTGCTGTTGGTAACTTTAGAAACATAGATGGACAACACCACTAGGAATGGGACTAATGATTTATTTCACATAAGACTACCAGATATCTTTGATCACAAACACCCTGCACTGGATTTGAAGTAGAAATCTAAACACAAAAGTCTCTCTAATCCATCAACAGTTCCCCCCTCCTCCATCTAGTCCACAGGTTAATTTTTAAATAGTTTGCATTCACTCAAAGATTTCTTAAAATAAAAAAAAGTACTTTCAGTGGGAAGAGCCCTTGTACACATATCCTGCTGGTTAGCTGCTACAGCTGATTCACATGTGTGTCTGCTGGAGCTCCATTTACTGGCAGAGTTGATGCCAACCAGAAGTAAACATCTTGCTAAGTTCAGCTCCATCAGAAATGTAGCCCAAAGGGCTGCTTTCACCCTGTAGTGGAATGCTGGAAACCACATTAAGATCCCTTTTTTTTTCTATTTCGCTTGGGCAGATGCACAGAGACTCTTTGGAAAAAAAATATTCAAGAGCTGGATTTATTTTTCCTTTTGCCCACCTTTTAAGGGAAAGTATAGACACTTCTGTACCCACTGAAGTTCTCTGTAGGAAAAACAAGCAGATGCCCTGTCTTCCCTTCATCCATCTATCATTCTGTTCCTTCCCCCACCTTCCATTTAAAATATGACATAGTGAGTGAAATGGAATCTCACTGACACCTGAGCTTCCCCATAGAGCTTTCTGTTTTCAAGGTCAAACAGCTGTTAATGTTAAGAGCGAGCAGTAAAGCAAAATGCAAAATGGGATCCTCTTTGGGGAATTAATAGCATTCCGAGAAAGACAGTGCTGTTTCTCTTATTGAATGGTATTAATCAATGGCCTTGTTTCCATTATTTTCCATGCTGCACCTTTTAGTCATCAAAATTTGCAGTCTTTGCCCAGAACTTGACATTTGTCTCTTGAATTCATACAAATATAATTTAACACAGTGGCTGACAATGTGGAATTCCATGTGCCTTCACTGACATATATGTGCAGCCATCTTTTATTTTAAAAACTGCATGATTTATAATTTTTCCACTTTCATAGCGCAAAAGTGGCCTTGCCAGTTTGTTCATATTCATTATATGTTAGAACAGCCATGCATGAGTTTACAAGTGTAACAATGGAAAAAGGGGAATGGCTATAAGACAACATGACAAGGGCATGGTGGTAGATGGTGGGAGAAGGGGCAAAGAAAGGTGCAGTTGCAGGAGGGGATGAAACATTAACAGAAGCTGTATTAGTCGCACAGAACTATGCAGGAATTTTGGGGTCATCAGCTACTTCTGAATAAAGACTGAGTGAGGTGCTGCTCTGGAATGAATCATGGTAGTTAAAACACATAAGCCTAGTCATGATACAGAGTTTGCCTTATTCCACATTGTCTGCTAGTCCTAGAGCCCTCTCCTGGCTCCAGTGAAAAACATTGAAGTTGAGAATGATGCTAGCTTCTGTTACAGGAGAAATTAGATGATGGGGATGGAATTGAATAAGTGAATCTAGAAAGGTCCAGTGAAGCTACTGTGGCAGAGTGCTTAACATAACCAGCTATGAGCCTGTTAGAGGTCTCAGAGACCTTCTGTAGCTCTTTGGAGACATAAGACCATTAGAAAAAAGGTTTTTCTTAAAAGGCTGACCTTCTGGAGCAGATCAGGATGTAGGAAACAAATGAAATAGTCAAACCCTTGTCATGGTCACTCTTAACATTCAAGGATGAGAAAATCATGGGGAAGTCATTGCTTGTTGTTCTAAACACTCTTTTCATCTGTTTCCACTGTGGTAACTTAGAGGAAAATATCAATTTCAGAGGAACCCAGAAAGTCACTTGTATCTCAGCGTAGATCTTTAAAAGCTATTTCCTGATAGATCGGCCTGTTAACGCTCCTGCCATCCACCCTTTTTACACAATGTTTGATCAATGCAAGAGCAATTACCAAGTATAGATACTGTACAACTTTTATGACTCCTTTTTATAATCAGAAATTTACCAAAAGAACCTCCTTTGAGCAGGCTTTCAGAGAAGGGCTTGCTAGCCAGAGAGATGGCCAGGCGGACTTACACAGAATGCCTCAGGGAAATGTTTAGTTTTTTCTCCACCTCCAGTAACTACAAGAGGAGTCTGTGCAAAAATGCCTACCCAATGAACTGTCCTTGTTCATTTCACAGACACTGAATTTCTCCTTCTCCTTCCCCTGAGCCATCCTGGCTGCTGCAAAAACATGTGGAAAGGACAGATCATAAGGCCATTACTACTCTATGGGTATTGAGAGATGTGCAGGCTCCTGCTCTAACTCATGGCACTTTACATAAAGCGCCATGAGTTACAGCCCCCCCCAACCCAACAGACCCTGCTGAGTTGAGAGGGTAAGGGTGGGACTCAAGCTCCACTTTTCAGCTGATTGAGCCTGAGGAGTCTGTCTGCAGCCTCTCTCCCCTC